TGGACCTGCGCTCGTTGCGGCTGTTCATGCGGGCGGCGGCCTGCTGCTTCAGGTGGATCATGTCCTCCAGCAGGTGTCCTTCTCGCACCTTCTCCTCCCTGAGTCTTGACTCCGCCCCCCTCTGGCGCTCCAGCAGGGCGTCGTACTTCGTCTTCAACTCCCCGTTCTGCTGCTGGACCTGCTCTGCCCGCTCCTGCAGCGCCCGCCGCTGATCCAACGCACCCGCCCGCCACCGCTCATCCTCCTGCAGCCTGAGGGGGCGGAGCTAACAGCATCACCGCCATGTTTAAAGGAGCAGCGCACACAGACTACGTTCACTGCTGCGTTTAACAGAAACTACAAAACAAATACTTCAGTAGAAAGTACGCTGAAAATACTGAAAAACTATAGAAAACACCTCAAGAAAATACCAAAAACTGTCAGAATATCTAATGTTAAAAATGTCAAGTGGAAATGTTTTAGGAGAAACAGAATATTTGAAGCAGACAATAATCTAAACGATCAGTATTTGTTCTGTGCACCAACCGCTGGCTGCTTCCCTCATTAATGATGTTAGTAATTATTATGTAAGGTCCATTTCTCACTGATGTCTTCACGTTCGACTCTCTGCTGATTGTACCCCTGTGGCATTCATTAAACATGGTCTTATCTCATTTAATACTTTTACTGATAATAATCTCTTTGTTCATATTTTATCATCCTAACAACACATATTTATTTCCTCTAATCCACTCTTGCTCTGCTGTGTATCAGTGCATCCACTGATTTCACCATCGCTGTGTGAATAAAATCTGACTGACAGTAAACCATGAAATGTGAATATTTTAGTCTCAGACTTTCCTCTCAAAGTCCTCTGACCTAAAACTTTTCTCGACCCAGTCAGAACATTACAGAGTCGAAGCCTTGCTCCGTCTCTTCTTAGTATTTTATATGTAATTCAGGCGAGCAGTTCAGGTGTGCGTCACTCACCTGGCATGCTGCTCGTCCAGAACTCGTTCTTTGATTTTAATCTGCTGCTGCAGCTCCACCACCTGATAGGCCAGCTGAGAAAACAGGATCAGTCAAACCTTCACTTTACAGAGCTTCACACTTTAAATGGAACAAATATATAATGTAATATAATAATATAATATAATATAACATAATGTAATCTAATATAATATAATATAATAAATATAATATAAAATAATTAATAAATATAATATAATATAACATTGTTGGAGC